ATCTATCTGGCCCGTTATACTACTCTCTATATCTCAACATTTACTAAGCTTAATAAGGTAAAACTCAAATATATATAATATTATATAGTTAATAAGCTATATGTTAAGTTATATCTATTTTTAGTAAGGTTTGGTGGTTTTAATAGGGATATTAAAATCGGCCTTAACTATATGTTTTTCAAGTAGGCCACTCGCTATGTTGGGCCGCTCGTTATGCGAATACGTTAGTACTATTAAGAATAGCTAAAACAATAATACTTACTAAATTATACTACTTTATTTACCGTGTATTTACTTATAGTTTTTATATATATTTAATTTATCTTTAAAGTAAATATACTTAATAGGAGCCAATCAGCTATAGTCAATTAAGCTGAAAATAGACTAACTGAAAAGCCGAATAAGCTAGTACTTCATTCTAAAGTACTGACTCTAGTGCCTAGAGAAGTGAAAGATAAGCTGATTGGCCTAAAAGTTGAAAAGGCACAGTCGTGCCTATAGGCCTCTATAATTGACCTAGCTTGCAAGGAAACCGGTCCCTTACGCACCTAACGCACCGTAGGCGTAGAACGTGTGTTGAAGGCTACAGATCTAGGTAGGTGGCTGTAGGCCACTTAGCCTAGATAAGGTGTAGGCGCCAGGTGGTCGCCAGGTGGCCGCCACCTGTAAGGCCCTTTTTCCCACCCAGCCACCTGGCCAGGTAGCTATATGGTATCGTTACATAGCTATTTACAAAGTTAACATCTGAGACAATGCACGCATATTGTGCTCTGTTACATTAGTTCTATATCACATGACATAGTAAAGCTCTTTGGTGGCTATGCTCACTACTCGGAATTATAAGTTATACGTTTATCAATATTAAAAGTATATGGTTGAGTTTTTTCTCTACTCCAAACATTCGTAAGCATGCCACCACCATGACGACCGTTCAGTGTCCATGGTTTACCGCTGTTTCCATACATACACAAGGTCGGTATATGCGAAATGTAATTAAGCTAAGCTTGATATTAACAGGTATCGTCTGCCAGCTGGGGACCAAGTGAGGAGTAGACTCGTAGCACTCGAAGCATTTCAGCGGTGCGTGCATCTTGAATAACACACGAGCGTGGTCTAGGGAACCGAGACATCGAGCCCCTCAAGGCCTGCGGGACGGTGACCTGCAGCTACAAGCACTGGAGCCAACCGAAGATTCTATCTTCTCAGCAGGGCTAGTTGCCTTTTCCAGATCATCAGAATCTTGCCCGGGATTTGCGGTCTGGTACTCGAGCCATTTGAATAGGCGATACACAGCAAAGGCAAGCAAAGCGCCAGTGAGTGGACCAATCCAGTATATCCAGTGGTAATCCACGAAACCAGTAACGACTGCGGGCCCGAAAGATCGAGCCGGGTTAACTATGGCGTTCAGCGTTGGTCAACTATCCCAGGGCCGGGTGTAGTTCGACTTTCCTCCCGGAGACACAGCCGTTGTAATAAGACAGGGTATATGGAACTACTTACTGGAGGTGCCAGTCCAATTTGTGGCTACGATATGAGCGATAAATACTGCCATTCCAATGCCAAGCGGGCCAAGAAATGTTGCTCGATGCTTCTCTACTGCGAGGAAGAAAACTGTAAGGACGAGCTGGGCAGTGAGTAGTATCTCTATGAAGAGACCCTGAACGACACTCGCGCCACCACCCAATTTGTTGGCGACCAGAAGTGGTCCGGGGAGCAAACCGTCTACGGCGGCGGCGGCAGCGATGGCAGCCACGAGTTGGGCAGCCAGGACACAAAGACCACGGACCGGCTTAACAGCACCGACCAAGACGAGACCAAGAGTCACCTATACTGATTAGATGGCTTATCCTTTGTATTCTGCATCGCGATTGACATACGGCTGGGTTGAACATTCCCCCGGTGACACGATAGAATACCCAAACATTGACCGCAAGCGCTACGCCAAAAGATGATGCGATGTATAGCAGGCTGAAAGGCAGAAGTGGCGCATTGGGGTCGTCAGAGTTGGTGACAATAGCAGTTTGAGTTCCGATGAACGAGAGGAGTAGGAACATGAAGGTTCCAACGAATTCCCCAGTGACCACGACAATGGTCTTGCGGGCTGGGTCCGGCACGACAAACCGCCCTTGCTGAGGTAGGGGTTCAGCAGCATGGGTGGTTGCGAGTGTCACGTTCCCGACGGCTGTGCTCATTTTTCGATGTCAATGGTGACGCTCCCGTGTCTAATATGTTGGATAGTTGTCCTGAGAGTTGCTTGGTGGTAAAGCACAGGCTATAGAGAGTATATTATCTTTCCGGCCCATGATCATGCCTTTAATAGTTCCTTTAACTGCAAAATTCTCACCAATGTGAACCGTGTCCGATTGTCCGGCTCAATGATGCTTCAAAAGTTCACAGCCCCGACTCGTGCGCTAAAAACCACCGTACCGTTGTGAGCTGGAATATGAGGAATGAACACTAGACCACCTCGGCCGCAGCGAAACTTTACGGCCAAATTCGGCGTAGTGTATTTGTTTCAGCTGCTAGAAGCCGTGCGACTTCAGCTCGCCTGTCCAAGTAGTGCAACGCTTTCAGCTTGCGTCCCCTTATCCCCTCTGTGCCTGACTCGTGCTTCCCGATAATTTCACGTCGTGGAATATTGGAAGAGTGGCATGTCTCGAAACGCTCCGAACACCATCGGAAAGCATGCCGCATCGTGTCTTACTTGCTCGACCTGCCCTATCTCTCTCTCGTGGGCCGTACCGGGGGATCATATATATCATAAGTAGCGTTTGGAAATCTACAGGCAGGCATCTTCCTAGGCAGGTCTCAATCCCTTGTGAGGAGAGAAACAGTCGTACCTGAATATATATTCCATGGCTGAATATCGTTTTATAGAGGACAAATTAATTGACAGGGTTCTCCACGCAATTTATGAAATGTGTGCTTCCTTCCACGTCCCAGTATACGAGGCATCAACGTGGTAATGCCGTCGCAGATACATCCGAAGAAACCGTGCCAAGGGAACCCTTTGTCGGGCCAAAAGACCCTCCATCTCCAGGATGTTCGCGTAAACCTTAATTTTGATGTGAAATGGCACCATCTAAAATTCTCGCCTGGGTTGCTGCCGCACAAACGGCTGCCAGACACTCGGCCCGATACGGGGGGTGCCACCATGAGCTATGCTGAAATACTAGTTGGACTGAGATAGGAGTATATGTTAAGCTTAAACCTTTTGTTTATGGGCTATTTAAAGCATCACATTTTACGTTCGGCGACACGAGGGTCATGGACGGACATTTAAAGCTTGACAGGATCCAGTAGACTTTCCAGTAGAATATCCTGCTGCTAACGAAAAAGACAGGCCGTGAAGGGTAGATAGCGAAGCCATACGTCAATCTCCGCTACACGCAGCCGGATATCAGTACACACCATGGCGACACTAGGTCAACTTTACATGCTAAGCGAACATCGTCAGTATGACTGTTCTCACCGCTTTACTACCCCGGAAAGCGTGATCATAAGAAACATATGTCCAATGCTCTATCCGGGCATGTGTCAAAAAAAATAGAGAGAGTACCTCACGCCGCAAGACGTAATGGTCATGTGTTTGACAACCGCGACTACAAGGATGTAGCATTGAATTTCACCATCACAATAATTAGTTGTCTCCTTCTCCCCGGGATCAAGCCGTCGGTCTTCAACGAGGGAAACAGTGAAGTCACTGGGAAATAAACGATTAACACGGAGCTGTATACGCAGCGGACACAGGGGAAATCGATAGGGCCCTATGCTGCCACGTGGCATTCATTGGTTGAATAATTCGATGTGGTTATGTCCAAGTTGTCTTCATGGAGTTGAGCTACCCAAGTAAACTCAAATACATGACTCCTCGGGACATAAGGGAGATGCCACAAGACTATTGGGAGAAACCTTTGCTCACAGTCCACACTACAGAAAAAGTAAAAATCGTACTGCAATAGCAATCAACACACACGTAATCATCCCCGCCAGTTGATTGTCTGATATCCCACAATATATCCATACCCAGCGAAGTCTATTAGCCCGACATCAGGTCAAATCACAAAACGGTAACACGACTTTGTGTGGGTATCACGTTAGTTTCCAGACGCATGCTGACGCGAATACAGGCTGGGAGTCATGACCAGAATGCCATATTGCCTGTAACAGAACATATCCAGAGAGGACGGTTGAGTTTTCCACTCGTATTTGCAACAGGAAATGTGATTGCCTTACTTCCCCAGGGAAGCGAGGTATCAAGCAACGAGAGGTTCGGAATAACAATGGCTTGATAGACCAATCATATGGTCCCTAGGTACCATTCAGTCAAAGCAATAACTCGGCCAAAGACTCGTAATGCCAGTATATAGCACTAGATACACACAGGAGAATAACCAATGTAAAGTGTAGATAATACTCTGATTCCAGCGTAGCTATCTCCTAGTATACTACTATTACTAAATAAGATGTATGAAAGAAAAAAAAAACCCCCCAATTACGACATAAGGACTACATTAGAGCCGGGAAGTACAATTCCCGGTAATCTATAAAGTTGTCACCAAGAGCACGCCATACCAGAGACTGAGTTCAGACACTCGAGTTCATGTGCAAAAGCTAATAAGTCATACACCGGTAGCCATGGATGTCTTGGGCTTTCAAGACAAGAGGGGACAGACGCGGGGTTTGATACGGTGACGACGAGTGCCTAATTGTAGTGTCACAGCTAACTCATTAGATCTGATGACCTGAATAACAGGCACCACGGCCGAGATTTTCGGCAAAAAAGTAGCGAGCATTGCAGAGCAAGTAGACGACTGTTCTCTACAACAAGATACCCTACATGTACCGATAGCATATCCACCACCAAGTTCCAGACACGGATGCACAGGACGAACCACAGGGAAGCACAGGGTCTTACGCACATGCGAGTTAGTACCACCGCACAACACTGCGGAAATCAGAACTACTGCTTCCAACACCAAATCATCCACGAATTAGATCTGATTACAACAGGGAAACTGTCCAGGACATTACAGACCCAGACCCAGACCCCAGGCCATACATGTTCGATTGTAGCCTAGTGGTGTGCCTTGCCTCACCACACAGGAGAAGCTGTTCTTACACCCACAGGGATGACACCAGACCAGCAATGACTTATAGCCACGATAAGAAAGGACAGCACACGGCGGGGCGCCCAGCGAGACATGGGATTACAAGCATTATTACTAACACTGGGATATGGACATGTAAGCACTAAAGGCCGACTTGTAGGGTGCAGCATGGAACGGCGATACAAAGGCTAACGGCACGACGCGTTCTTAGGTAAACAAAAGTCACGCCAGGCCACGATGCACCCTTTGAACAGACAGACACAAGAGCAAGACAAGAGGTACAACAAATCGTAGTGCAAGACCCCCTTATGCACTGGGGGGAATCAATTATGTTATCCGTGCTGAACACCGTTGATTGCCCGTATGGTACAGAGAACCCAAAGCAGAAACCGAATCCCATAATCATCATCACAGTCCAAACCATGCCGACCCCTCCTTAAAAACAATCGTGACAGACATGAATCATGACGTTTAACCACCGAAACCGTACAGGGTGCGGCCTTGGCGCTTCAGGGCGTAGACGACGTCCAGGGAGGTGACGGTCTTTCGCTTGGCGTGCTCAGTGTAGGTGACGGCGTCACGGATGACACCCTCGAGGAAGGACTTGAGGACACCTCGGGTCTCCTCATAGATCACTGAAAGAGGACAAAGGTTAGCGGCGCGCGACGCGTCGTAGAGTGGGGCTCCTGATAGGAAGCAACTTACTGGCAGAGATACGCTTGACACCACCACGACGAGCGAGACGTCGGATAGCGGGCTTGGTAATACCCTGAATGTTGTCGCGAAGAATCTTTCGGTGACGCTTGGCGCCACCCTTGCCGAGGCCCTTGCCGCCCTTGCCGCCTAAAGAACGCGTCAGTGACCGGCCCGGATGAATAAGAGGTAGCAAAGAGGTAGTTATGTGCGAGTACATGGTCATGGGGATGATCGGGAAGGTGGAAATAACTTACGTCCAGTCATGTTGATTGGTGATGGGGTTTGTGAATGGTGGGGTGAGTTGTAATAGATACCGCTAAGGGTAGTGCACGAGGACGATGATGATGATGGATGGTGGTGGTTGAATGAGATCGGAGAGGGTGGGTGAGGTCGGACGTGGGGAAGGGCGAGATTAAGTACGAGGACGGGGTGCGGTAGCTGTGCGGCGAAAGCAGATCAAATCAGTCACTGATCTGGGCCGGGCGGGCTAAGGTAGGTACTGTAGTTGGCTGGCTGGTTGGCTGATTTTCGGTCGGTACCTAACTTAATGTAGGCGCGTAGCGAGGCAAGGCAAGGCAAGGCAAGGCAAGGCAAGGCGCGGCGCAGGGGCCGCCCGCCGTGTGTGTTTTCGACTTGTTTATCCCCCCCCCTGTCTCTCCCCAAAGGGTTTTACCAATCAAATCAGACCTTTCCATGCCAAGTTGCAGTTCAAGGGATCCATTTACTTACCTAAGACACACGTAGAATGGCAAATAAATCGACAACAAAAAAACACGAGTAATAAAATAAACGGGACTTGCACAATCGGGTCCACCGTCTTCCCTTGTCTGACAGTTGGTCCAGTGCAGATTTTCTATTGGCTACATTGAGCATCCGCCTGCATTACCATGGATACCTACGTCGGCAGGACCCCGGCTTTCCTTCAATACCTATCTACTGCATACTTAGGCAGACAGTACCATATGTAGAGTACAGCACCTCGGGCAAGCATACAGAGTAGATGTTACAAGAGGTAGATCTTGGTGCAGATTGGGCCTTCCATTCAGCCTGGCCAATGACCTGATGTGACTGTACTTATCCTAGTGAAATGGACAAAGGACGCGCACCATTGCTGTCTTGCCTTATCCAAAATAGTCTGGCCCTGATTTGCCATGTGGTCTCACCACATCCATCTGTGTAAAGCAGAAGACCTCACTGGCTGTCCTCCACCTAACTATTCGCAAAAGACAAATATGCAGCTAGGGCCGTGCTGGATGCCACTTTTGCGACAGGTTCATGTATTGCAAGACGTCGTTTCCGAGCAACTCTCGACGAGTCTTCCAGTGCTTTGGTTGCTGGGTACTGGTTATGCCTACGCCTGTAGACATCAGTTACAGCACACATATGTCAGAATGGAAACTGCCGAGTCATATATGAGTTGCCTGCTAAGGACGAGACAGCAGTAGGCACACTGTCAGCCATCCATTTCCTGTTGCGGTTCCTTTCCAATCCTACATTGTCAACTAACTTACGTTTCATCGTGGGTACCTAGGTAGGTCGTGGTCTGGAAGAAACAAAATAGCAAGCCTTTGAAAGCAGTATCCATGTATGTGTGTTAGGTTAGGTTAGGTAGGTAGGTACCTAGGTAGTCTCTTCGCAGTCAAGCGATTGATGGGAGTGTCCTTGTGTCACTGCCTAATACCAGATGAGTCGTCCTTCCATCGCATCCCAAAGAAGAAAGTGGATCCCTAGAGACACTGATCCATTCCCAACTGCCAGGCGCGGACCAATGGAAAATCGGCACCACCTGCGTCAGCGCCACCCATCTTGGTCTAGCGTCCATGGCGTTCGCCCCTTCCCGCATATTCCTGGGCGGCTTTCCTACAAGAAAGACAGGAGCACACACGGGCCATTTCCTGCTGCCAAAAACCGCGTTCCATTTCCCCTCCCAAAAAAGCGGCCATCACTTGCCATTTTACTAAGGCGCTTTGGCTCCCGCATTTGCAATCCAACACACCCAAAACACCCAAGCAAGACACACCAGGCACCCCACCCCAAAAACCCAAAAATTGTTATTATCGAAAAAAAGAGGCAAGCGCGCCCGCCTAATCAGCCGTCCAGCGCCAGCCCACCACAGCTGCCTACTTAAACCTCTCGCCCCCCACCCCCTCTCCCCAATCTTCTCCTCTTTCATCACACACACCCAACAACCACACTCCCCATCCATCCATCAACAACTCATCATCGCACATCGCGATCATCATCAAACAACCTTCCACTATCATCACCAACATCATTCGCAATGGCCCGCACCAAGCAGACCGCCCGTAAGTCCACTGGTGGCAAGGCTCCCCGTAAGCAGCTCGCCTCCAAGGCCGCCCGCAAGAGCGCCCCCTCCACCGGAGGTGTCAAGAAGCCTCATCGCTACAAGCCTGGTACCGTTGCTCTCCGTGAGATTCGTCGCTACCAGAAGTCCACTGAGCTTCTGATCCGCAAGCTCCCCTTCCAGCGTCTGGTAAGCCTCCATCCTCTGATTTCTACCGCGGCGCGTCGCGCATCCACCCTGACGCGGTCGTGGCTCCATAACATAACCCAGCATCATGGCTAACGCGCTCCGCCACAGGTTCGTGAGATCGCCCAGGACTTCAAGTCCGATCTCCGCTTCCAGTCCTCTGCCATCGGTGCTCTGCAGGAGTCCGTCGAGTCTTACCTCGTCTCCCTCTTCGAGGACACCAACCTGTGCGCCATCCACGCCAAGCGTGTCACCATCCAATCCGTAAGTGGCCTGCGATCACATGAAACATTCATCGATATCATTGCTAACAACCTTCTAGAAGGACATCCAGCTTGCCCGCCGCCTCCGTGGTGAGCGCAACTAAGCCGCCTCTTAAACGCCTGGTCTCGGGTTTTTGATGGGTGGTTCACGATTTTGACATTTGCAATGCTTGGTTGACGATGGTCCACAAGGGAAAGGGTTAATCACGGCGTTCATGATGCGATTGCTTTGCACAAGGGGTGTACATTTAAGATTTGCAGCTTAGGGGAGCTGCACACGTTAAACGCAGGTTCATGACCATATCGTACCTTGTTTCCCATGCCTGTGACCTGTCCCGGTGCCCTGCTAGCGTACGACTTGTTCCTTGTGGAGTTGGTCCCTTCCGGGGTTTGTTTTGTCTCTTTTGTCTACCGCGCCCGATACGCGCCAGGGCAATGCGTAGCGAGGTAAATTTTGTCCGGTGTTCCTTGCGCGTATGTGGCGGTCATGTGGCTTTACCTCTGGCATGTACGTGGACACGAAGGTAAAGCTAAGGCTTAAACACATGCCTACAAACTGGGTTCACGCCAATGCGTACTACAACCGTGCAATGTTAAATAGGCCAATGCGTAATGCTTCCTGTCAAGAGTGCGGTCCACATCACAAAACAATGCATCGTAGGTATTTGCATCACTCCGCAATACGGGGAGGTGAATAGAAGAAACGCTACTCGGCCGTTTTGTCGCTTGTTCAAATCTTGATAACTTTGAATCCCTATCAATTTCTGACTCCATGGTGCTATCTGTTAACTGACAATTATAGAACTTGGGTGCATCCTGGGGACACAACGCTATGCCGGGATCAACATCTCCACCCTCGGAGACCTCCATGGCTATAGTTACGCTCGCAAGGGGTCAAAGTGCTGTTGCGGCACTCTTGTTAGGACGTTGAAAGCGCCGGTTCCTACCTTTCCTAGGCGACCCATAACAAGCCGACTGCTCGGTGATGCGAGATTGTCCCAGTCGCCGTCAAGAAGTGCGTCTTTGAGGAATGCGAGTGTAGTTTCGAAGCTCATCTTGGTGAATGGGCTAACGTTTCCTTTGAGACCCATCCTGTTGAATGGCGTAAAGCCGCCGTTGCGTGTCATGTAGTCGCCAATCAAGTTCAGATGCCGGTTGTCTACGCTGATCCCGTGCGATCCGAAGACGTTGCTCAACTCACGAATAATATTGTTTCGACATGCCTCAACCCCGTAGTTTGTCAAGACAGCAGCAATATCGTTTGTCGATATCCTGTTCGGATTGATGAAACCCCCGTAATTTTGCATCGCTTGGAGATTGACACCATTTGTATGCACAACAGGCATCTCCACCTCCTGCCCAGTCTGAGTGTCCAACATCTTCTCGTCGGGGACAAATGTGCATTGGCCAATGCCTGGCACTTGATGCACAAGTGTTTTGCGCACAGCCTCCTGCACAAGGTTCAACATGAGCAACTTCGGGATACTGACGTCGAATTCAAGTGTGAAAGTACACCACTCGCCAGACAGATTATCGCACTGGAATTGGGAGACATGCGTATTTTTCGACTTGACTCGGCTCTCCCGGGACTTGCTTAGAGCCTCCATTTCGGCGTCGGACGAGGCTTCATCGTCATTAGCTTCCTCCGGCGGTGGACTACCTCCAAAGCCTTCATCCTCTAGTTCTTCGTCCTCGGCTGGTGAAGCCTCGCGCTCTAGTCGTGTTTGAATGGCGTCATCATCCTCGTCATTTGGCCCATACGACACTGCCTCGCTCCTGTTGGCTTTTTGCTTGGCGTTTGTGGCATCATCGTCGCCTTCCTCGTCGTCATCGTCATCATCCCCGTTTCGACCGCTGCTTTCTGCATTTGGCCGTGCCATTTCTACGACGCCGGTCTTCACACCGATCTCCGGAGTGGCGGCGCTAACGTCAGAGCCCTTTTTCTTCTTGATCTCTCGGGTGATTAAGCCCTGGAGGTTTGGCAGGAGTTTCTTTTCGACAGTGTCCAGTACATCCGTGATGGTGATGCAATATGCGCTGGTGTACTCTTCAGATGAGAAGAAATCTAGTCGAACATTGTAAATCTTCGCCAACGGATAGGCGATGCCCTTGCCGACTCGCTCTTGGACTACTGCTTTGTCAAGAACATGCGACAAGGGCAGGACGCTGATGCTCTTCGCAAATTCACGGCCCTCCTGTTCTCCAAGCTCCTCATTGAGAATCAATGTCATAGAAGGTGTTGAGATCTTGTCGCTTGCGGTCATAAGGATCTCTCTCAGGCGAGGAATACCAAGGGTGACGTTCTTGGCCGAATGACCAGCCAAATGGAATGTGTTCAGTGTCATCTGTGTGGATGGCTCCCCAACGGACTGGCCAGCAACAATGCCCACAGCTTCGCCAGGTTCCACAAGCGACCTCATATATTTAGCAGCCATGACCTTTTCAACGTGCTTCCGTGAAAGTGAGATCCTCCCAGGTACGATCTGCTGGTTGACACCCTTTTCCTTGATGATACCGTCCTTGTTTTCTTTGATATAATCCATCAATGCCCCGTAAAATTTCTCAGAGGTAGCAAATGCATGCCTAACGGGGTTCGCAAGACAGTTTACAGGTTCATCAGTGTTGATGATGTTTGCTTTCGCCTTCTTGACTGCGATTTTGCTCTTCTTGTTGAAATCCTCCTTGTGTTCAAACAGACCATACGCAGCTGCATCCTGATATCTCGTCTGTGCAAGCTGGGACTCAAAGTTTTGCAGCAAGAAGCCGAAGTCAGTGAGATACTTCTGCTTTGTGATATCCAAACCATCCTCACCAAACAGAAATTGCACCATGGTACCATCGGAGTCACGCACAGATGTGTCATAAGCAATCTCAAGACCCTCCATGCCTTTGATCAAGCATCTTTGAAGGTATCCGGATCGGGAGGTTTTGACAGCCGTGTCAATCAGACCTTCTCTGCCAGCCATGTGATGGAAGTAATACTCCTGCGGCCGGATCCCTGTCAAGAATCGATTGACAACATAACCTCCAGCTCGCACATTTGTGTCGAAGGGTCGGAAGCTTGGCAATGTCTTGCCACTGACCATCACCGGTACCCGTCTTCCTTCAAGAACTTGCTGCCCAAGATTACAGGAAATCAAGTTCGCGTTGACGAGGCCACCCTTGGCTCCTGAAGTAGTCATCGATTGCATTTGATTCTTCGGGAATTGTTTCTCGAGCCCATCGGGTAGACAAGCTTTGGTAATCTGGCTCGATAGCTCCGCACAACTGTTATTCATTAATATGTCCAATCCTTCCTGCTTATTGTCGTCTCTCATGACCTCTTCTAGCCGGCTAAGAAGTTCTGGGTCGTTCTCCTTTGGCCTCTGCTCATCGAGGGTGACGTATTTGGCTGCAACTTGAAGACCGATGCGGCCAGCAGCCTCAAGCTTCTGCCTTCGCCACATCTCGCCATCGCGTGTGAGCTTCAAGTCATCCATGCCGCAAGTGAACGCTCGCATAGTCAAGTATCGTGTCAGCAGACGGCCCATACTGCTTAAAAGCTTCCCGGCGACAGCCGGTCCATATACCTCGTGAACGGAATGTACAAAGCCACCAGAGCTAGGTCCTAGCTGCGCTTTGTCTAAAATGCCTGAGATAAACTCGCCATCACGGAAGAGGACCGTGCCTTCTTCCGAATTCTGGCCCCAACGAGCGGCAGGAATCGAACTCTTTCCATTCATCCACAACTCTCCGCAATTGGATGGCTTGATATTCTTGAGGATAGTCGTGATAACTTGTTTTCCTGTCCAGCGGGCTATCGGCTTGAGCACGGCGGGCGGTACCAGTTCGAGCCGCTCTCCAAGCACGTGGCCGCTCTCTGGACGGAGTGCACTGTAGATCAACTGTTGATATGCAGCTCGGTCAAAAAACGTGTCTCTATTACATAGAGCGACCGAAACAGAGAGATGGTCCTGAATCAAACCACGTAGAGGCTTTCCTGCAGTCCCAGAGATGTACTGGTGATCCGTATCTGCAAGCTGCAGTGCCTCTGCTCGCGCAATCTCGTTTTGAGGAAAGTGCATGTTCATCTCATCACCATCGAAATCGGCATTGTACGTATTGCAGTTTGCATAATGCATGCGGATGGTCTTTTCCCCGGGCAGAACTCGAACGCGATGGCCCATTATGGATGGCTTGTGCAAGGTTGGCTGACGATTCATCAAGACAACGTCACCATTTGTCAGGTGCCGGTGAACCTTTTTGTTGCGCATACCACTAAAGTTATTGTTGGTTGGGGCGAGAAGCTGGTTGGCAAGAGAGACACGATCCTCGAGGGATTTGTTCCTCAGATTTATGATCTGACCGTTTTCGTTTTCGATAGCCGAAGCTCCAGGCCATTTGTCAACACCGTTGATCACAGCTTGTTGCATGTCTTTGAAGTTGTGGCTTGTAACTGGCTCCGGATAAGTCAATTTTCGAGCGAACACAGGGGGTACGCCTATCTCATTGGTTTCGATATTGGGATCCGGCGAGATCACACTCCGTGCTGCGTAATTTACTCGTTTGCCCATCATGTTCTTCCGGAACAAACCCTCCTTCTTCTCGAGCTTCTGTTTGATCCCATCCTCGTTCCGCTTTGAGGCAGCGCCTTGCACGGGATTCTTCGTTTTGTCGATGAGAGAATTCACACAGTCTTGAAGCTCTGTCCAGACTTCGTGGAGTGAAGACATCTGCCTGAAATTTCCTCCATTCGTTCTTCCGTTCTGAACGTCTGCAAAGATGGAGCTGAACTTCGTGGAACTCCGCAATATTAGTTTATACAGCGAGTTCTGCTGGGCTTCTGTAACTTGGGCATCACCCGTGCGAGCCTCCGGTCGGTATCGGTTGGGGGGGACCAAAATTGCGTCCAGGAAGAAAATGTCTGGCGTAATCGGCCCCATCTTTTTGCTGGTAGGCTTTCTGCTGTAGACTAGAGATAACAATTCTTGTTCATTCTTGAATAAAAGTCGTAGCCGGCTTCTCACCTCTACTGGAGTGAGATAACGATGGGGAGGTGCCGCAGCATTGGACTTTGGCTTCGAGTCGCCTGTGACGACATTTCCAAGCTCATCTAACTCGTCGCCTTCGCCTTCATCGGCATTTATAGATTGCTCCTCGTCAGACGGAAGTGACTCAAGATCAGCAATGCCTTCGTCAGAGGCATATCCGCTCCTACTCTTAGTCTTCGACTTTTGACCAGCCAGGATGGCGTCACGTTGTTTGATTCCGGCTTCGGTATTTTTGGCAAGTTCTTTTGATGAGAGAGGCGTCTCGAAGATCTTGACAAACCTGTCTTTCCTGTATTTTGGTGCAATGGCACGACAACTTGCGCACTGCCTGGTCTTGACAATATCTTTAAAGAAGTCACTAGTAAGAGCGCTGCGCATTTCTGAAGAGCCCTCGTGCTTGCCTCTCCGGACCTCCCCAAGGTTGAGTCTAAGCTGAGCGAGCGCCCTGCGCACATAAGTATCACGGGCACGAATGACACCGTCCCCATTGTCGTCGTCATCCGAGTCATTCACAACATCCTGCGGAATGCCTTCCGAGGCAAGACCGTGGTAATTCTCTCCAATAGCATCAATTGCCTGTGCCTCCGCTATAAGTCCATGCTGGAGGAGTCGGAAGAGGCATTCATAACGGTGTAGATCTCGTCGGCGCAGACGGAACCGGTGGCAGTTGGCGCATTGTGCCCGTAGCAAACGGAGCACCTGGTCCATGAATACAGGGTGATAGACAGGGGCGGGTAGATCGATGTGGCCCGGGTGGCCGGGGCAGGCGGACTGTCCGAGATTGCATGTTGCGCAACTGAAATGCTAGTCAGTGTGTATAATAGATAGACTATATAATAGATAGACTACAGCATAAAAACTGGTTGAGATCACCTACAGAGCATCGCCCCAAGACCCAAGCGCAGGATCATACAAGCCTCCTGGCGATGGGTTCAGGAGGGTGTCGAAGGTTGTGTCATTGTTGATCTGTTTGACAGAGATGGCATGAATCTCATCCTTTGACAAAAAGCTAAACTCGACACTGTCCACTGCGGACGGAACGGGCTGTGAGATATTCATGGCTACGCGGCCGCTTGCTGGCGTGACATCCAAGCGCGAACAATGCCGTTTGCGGCGCGGCTATTCGTTTTTGTCTGCTGCCCTCTCGAGAAAGAACTGACGTTGTATGTAGGTATGGTAGATAGGTGCAAGTTTTCTTCACCTCAGAGGTAGATGTGGGGTGGTCACCCTAGCCTACTACGATCGCGGTGGAAAGAGATAGAGGAAAAGAAAATACTTTTTGGCGGACAAGTGCGGCAGAAATCACCGGAGCTTCCTAGCCTACCTATTGGTTATCAGGCGCAGCAAGTGCGAGTGGAGCTCCAACTACCTACAGCCTTCAAGTGGAAAATACGTGCGTGCCTTAGGGACTTCTATTCATCATCGCCACCAGCTTCCTCTTGCCCGCCTACCTTGGCTATCTAGGTACTGGCCGACTGTACTAATTGAAACGTCCGGATCGATCTGGGCTGCATCCTACGTCCCACGTCACCGCTTCGTCCTCCTCTTCCGCCGCTGCTAGTTGGCTTTCTTCGATCTGACACGTAATTCCAGTGGTGTTAAACCCCCAAAGCTACCAACGATATCGAGATCCACTCATTTGTCCGTCGAATTCACGCCGATCGCCTTCTTAGCAGTCTCGACTACTAGACGGTGGCCGAAGACCCCGTCATTGCGGGAGCGCGACTACACTTCACTTGTGCGTTACACGCTACTGGGGCTTGACTCGCCATCTCCTTGCAGACTCCTGAGCTCGCGGGCTTTCTGGCTGTCGCGCGGGTTTAGAAATAGCCAGCACGTCATGGAACGACGAAACCAATCGCCGGGCCTTGGGCCACGTCATGACGCGACTTCGCGAATACATAAGCCAGAGGGCGCCATGAACCGTATGGATGCCCTCAAGGCTCGAGTCGCGGCAGCGATCGAAGGGAGCAAAGCCAAGGGCGGTTTGAACGTTGGGCTTCACCCTGCGCTAGAGGATCTGGGGCAGTGGAAACCCGCAACCAAGAGTGGCGATTCGAAGTCGGCCCAAGCACCAGGGAAACCGCGATTGAGTACGGATGGATTCAGATTCTCGCCCTCTCAGAAAAATGAATCTCCACTCGGTAGTCCCAAGGCCAACCCATACCTAGACACGACCGCTCCAAGTCAGGGGGGGGCTGGAAGGCAAAGGCAATCCCGGCAGCTTGTCTTCAATCAAAAAGGAAAGTATATACAGCAGGCGAACGCCCTCCGTAGGCAGGCCGCTCTCGAGGCTATGAAGAAGCGGATTGCTGAGCAAACCCGGAAAGCTGGCATTGATGAAGACATGGATGCTGAAAAAAATTTCGTTGTTGAGAATCCACCAGATCTAGAGTGGTGGGATGAGGGCCTTGTCGACGGGAAGACCTATGATGTAATTTCTAATCCAGGTCATGTGAAAGTGCTGTCAGCGGACACCATTGTCACAGAATACGTGCAACACCCAGTTGCATTGGAACCGCCTCAGGACAGAAACATCCCAGCACCCAAGGCCATGTACCTCACTGCTAAGGAGCAGGCTAAGCTACGACGACAACGCAGGATGGCAGACCTCAAGGAAGAACAGGCGAAAATTCGCCTGGGCCTCGTACCTGCCCCGCCGCCCAAGGTCAAGAAGGGGAACCTCATGCGCGTTCTCGGAGAGGAGGCCGTCAAGGATCCTACTGCTGTTGAGGCCCGGGTGAACCGGGAGATTGCAGAGAGACACCAGAAACATCTCGAAGCAAATGAGGAACGGAAGCTATCAAAGGACCAAAAACACGAGAAGTTGGCAGCCAATCAGGAAAAGGACGCGGCAAAGGGTCTGCGTGTCTTGGTATTCAAAATCAGAAGTTTAGCAAATGGGCAACATCGCTTCAAGATCGGCAAGAATGCTGAGCAGTTGGCTCTTACCGGCGTCTGCATCATGCACCCGAAGCTTAACCTCGTTATCGTTGAAGGAGGAGAACATAGTGCTAAGCAGTATAAAAAGCTTATGCTCAATAGAGTCGACTGGACGGAAAATGCATCTTCGCGGGACAGAGAGGGCAAGCAGGGCCAACTTAGGCAGTGGCTCATGGCGGAGGACGAGAAGGGAGATCTGAAGGACATGTCCACTAACAAATGCACGCTGGTATTTGAAGGTGAGGTCAAGACAAGAGCCTTTCGAAAATGGGCAAGCAAGGTCTGTGAGACTGATGCCGAGGTTCGCGAGGTTTTGTCGCGCACGAAGATGGAAAACTTCTGGTCACAAGCTAAGAGTATGGATTAAGTTGGTAGTCTGATACTACTACAGGACCTAATTATATGTGTATACAATCAAATCTTGCCGTTCACCACTATCTTAAAGCTCGCTTGGTCTGATGTGTCAAGCCGAGAACCAATGTGATCGAACCGATACTCGGGTCTTTTCAACACTCCCATCTGTCTGACGCGTCAGGAGAGCGTCTACTCAACTGTCATGCAGAGTTGAGGCTTGCTTGCGCGATCTTGGCTTTCTAACATCCCGTCATATAACTTATATAATGTTTGCTACTTCCATGTTAGTTGCCAACCGTCATGTGAGTAGGTTGCACATTCCCATAACTTGATTTCACACGTCGGCGACTTGACCACCGGTGGTATGGATCCCAAGCAACCGTCTTCTTATGACTAGCATTTTGAGCAACGTCACTCGAACTCCTTTGTTGGTTCCGTGTCCAGCAGCAACGCGCCGCCAAGCAGTTCCATGTCAGCACTCCTGACCTCTTAGTATATTTAGTTAACTATTTTTACGTAGTCAGCGGTTCCGCTTATCTCGACATTTTTGGTAGAGAGGATGGTCGTATCAAAGTGTAAAATTGGTTCGAGAGTATTGGCTTAAACGATTCTAAGGATGGGAGGAGACTCGATGTGGTGCAACCTGCAAGTATTGTCAGCGAAGCTATCCCGAATCGCACACGTGCGCAAGCCTGTTTGCTCTCTGTGCATAGTACCCTTTTCTTGGCTAACTTGAGCTTCTGGTCCGAAAACTTCTCGTGGGAGCTCCTCGGTGGACTTTGACGCGTCCGAGTTTACACAGGCGGCTGACTCGAGGTGATGGTGGATAGGGCTTTGTTCATCTGATCAACAGACTCTTTGTAGGTTCGTCTACTAGGTGGTGTAGTTGTACTCGTGCTGGCTCTTTGTGATGTCTGCGGGTCGTGATAGGACGGCGAATGATGAGATCCGCGTTGGTACAAGCTGCAAGAAAAATGCCCGGACCTGGAAACATCGTGGTTCGCTCGTGCGGCACAGCTAAGCGGCACAACTAATTTCGCCTTTGGGGTAACAATAGAAGCTACCAGAGAGTCAAACAGTAAACAGTGACTCTATGTATGAGTCACTACACCGGGGAGCTGTCAGATCCCATAACAATGTTGTTGAAGGAAAGCTGACACAGGTCGCAACTCCAGCCAGTATGGACACTTCTCCTATGATAGGGGGCACACGAGGAACGATTACAGAGATGAACTACCTGGTGAGCACAATAGAGAATTTGCTCTATGGCTCACTCTCACAGTTATACCCATTCGGCGCCAGTTCACTCGCCATCGTCTCGGGAACCTTGGAAGCTCCTGGCCACGTTTTGGCCTCTCACTTCAGCCACGAGGCGAAGCCTTTCCAAAGCGTTAACGACCACTCTAACGGCCTTATCTATCGTGGTAGAACCTGCGCTTAGAGAGCTATCTACGCATAGAAACAAGTCTACGCTTCTAAGTGCCAAATCTAAGGGGTAAATCACATTGTAACTAGAGTATGTCTTTACTGTTCACTCTGTGACTGTTTGAACATGCGACGAGGAATATCGCCACCTATTCATAAACACAGCCTAACTATGGTAATAGGGCTCTCCCAACCAGCCTAGACACCAGAGATTGGCGATGCCACCACGGGCAGCCCGAATGTTGTGTTTGATTCTGCCCATCACAATAAGGACGAGTTCAGGCCACCCCCATGTGCGAGACAACAAGGTGAGACAGGCAGGACACTGGTTATAGTGACAGAAGGGTTATCATCCCATGAGGAGCACATTTTGCTATCCTCTAGTGACTGCACAGAGCGAGCCCAAAAAACCCCCAGGCTGTGCTACGTTCACTATGCAAGCCTGTAGTCGGCCAGCACTCCCAAATACTAGCCCGTCAACTCTAGGGGACGAACGAGTCTTCTGAAAACGACACGTTCCCTCCCGGTCTACATACCTACCTACTGCAGCACCCAAGCACTTGACGACCTGGATATCTGCAATATACGAAGTGCTGTACACCTATCAAAAACGGCCTCTCCTGTCCATTGCAGTATACCAAAGGCGTGCATGAAACAGGTACATACTCTAATCCCCTACATTCGCGGGCGTAAGTACCATATTCCGACGTGTTCCCCCCTTTCCCATGTAACATCACTCATGCACCATTTATGCAAGAGCGGAGTTGACAGGTTGGGCTTCGCAACATGCGATGCAGGACCATCATGTGAGATTCGCTCTGAGAAATACAGGACGAATTAGCCGCAGAAAAGACGATAAATGCGTCGCAACATGGTCCTTGAAGTGTACATACTAACGACCCCTTAATTCTGCATACTCACATGGATAAACCAGTGCAAGCCAAAAGCACTATGGCACGTGTAATTGTGCGCAACGCCAACACACATTGTGATCAGCCAGGCCACGCTAGACTAATGGCGGCTTGACTGGCAATAACAGCCGTCTTCACCTGTGAGCTAGGCGGATGCTGGCAGCTTGCCAGGAAAAGGGCCATGGTTGCCCATAATCCAGCGAGCGAGTTACCATCTCTGCAAGGTATTGTAGGGACTCGATTGGACAAGCCGCCACCAACTGTTATTGCATTTGGCCCGTCCCGGCTCAAGCAGCCGCCAACTCCAAGTGCATGGAGCAGCGAGCCAGCAGGGGCGGTACTTTGGCTGGCATCTACCCAAATTATCCACCGAGAAGAAACTACCACAAGTCACCACTGGCTTCGATCCACACCACAGAGCCCCTTCCACCCCTTTTCTGTTGAAAGCTTTAGGTCGTCGATACAACTTGGACCCCCTAGCCGTTGACCTGGTGGGATCGTCGAAGTAGTGTATAGAAATGACCATTGGGAGACGTTACCCTCCTGCCTCGCCGCTGCTTCTGTGACTCTGGCGGACGAAATTTGACGTGGCAGCTCACACTAGCGGAGGTTTTGAGTAGAGACCTGCATCACACAAGATAACGCAACAGAGTACAGCATGGTGTAGTATAGCATAATGTCCGTTGGCGCCTAGGTTCAATCAGAAGGAGCAGAATGGGATGACACGCTACCCTGGGTCTGCTCTCCTTTCCGGGTAGCTCACAACTCAACTCAGCTCAGGTTATCTTGCCGTGGCGAGGGCACCGTGTGCCGAGTTGCTTGAGAGCCGCGGCATCTCCAAAAACCGGTCGGCGCCCGTCGTCGTCCTTACGTTACATAAGGCGGGTATCTATTCTAAACCACGCCCCAGTACTTGAGCCCCGTACTTAGGTAATACGCGTCTACTTCCTTCGCAAGCAGGGTACCTGGGCTGGCGCGCAGCATTGACCTGGGACCTTCAGCTAATACCTGGGTAGTAGACCTGTTATCCACCTATCCATCCATCCACTATGTAGGACCGACCTAGGTACCTGCCTTTAGGTATTTACCTCACCTAATGGGGACCTAATGTAGGTATGTATGTACCCGTGTTCGGGCAGCAGCTGAGTGGGCAGACCGAACCAGACCCCTGATGGAAGGGGGGCGGGCTAGCCAGCTAGCGAATGTTGAATTCGTCTATTCGCCCTAGAATGAACAAATGTGTGGGTTCTGTTTAAACAAGCTTGGGAGTGCTTGTTCCCGTTGATCAATCCCTATGCAATGGACGTTTGGCGGGCTCTGCCTGGCTTTCGGAAATTCCCCGCATCCTGTTGGCCTGCCCTGCCTGCTTACCTACTACGTGTATCTATCTACATGGCTACCTACCACTTGTGGGTGTTCTACCTCGGGCCTTCCCCTACCCTGGTTGAGCATTATTTACCTATAAGGTAGGTAGGTATGTAGAGTCGCAGTTCTCGCTGTTTGTCCTGTGCTGTTGTCCGGTACTTGTACGTACAGTAGGCAGTACATCATCTGTAAATAGAGCACAGACACTCCCATCCAGGTGATCCCTGCCAGGGGCGGCCTGGCCCTCCAATCGGGGCCGTGTCCCGTCGCTTCGGGTCCGGGTTTTGGCTGCTCCTTCGCAGAGCAGCGGTAAATACAACAGGAAGAAGGGCTGAAGCGGTCTCCAAGCGGGCCCCGAGGTGAGTCAGTCCGCCGGATTCAGGTAAGGACGTAGGTCAGGTAGGTGTTAGCAGTTTACTAGGTATGTATTATGCAATAGATGGCGACATCTGCTCGGCTTGATAAACCCCGTTGACATCCCACGCCTCGGCCGAGACAAGACGAGCTGTGCCTGGCGTCTTATACTCGGGGGGGGGAAAAAAAGAAAAAACCCTACCGCCACGTTCATGTCCGTGTAGAGTTCAGACTTTCTGTCTTGACATCAAGGCATGTATATCACCATGATCGGGATTGCTATAGCACTGCCGAGTGGGCCACCAGACCCGGCGGCATGCTTAGAAATTAGGATAGGGTCGGGCTAGGGCGGATCTTTTTATGCCTGCTGGGAAATGACTACGACTCCACGGGCGCCTATGATTTTACCTGTGTCCGTACGTTCTACTCTACGTAGGTATGCTGCTGCTGTAGTTTACCTCTTTTTCCCCCTGCTGTGCCGGAGACTCTACGTAGATCTGCGACGAGATGGACCTCGCGGGCCAATGCAGCTGGCCTCCTTTCGGGGACAAGAGCAAGCTCCGTAATGCTGTAATGCTGCAGTGCTACTGCTGCGATATGCCCGCCCGGGCATGATAGTGGTCCTTGCTAATGGATCCCAGACCGGCCGAATCGATCGGCTAGGGCTGCCGCCTGACGACCTAAACAGCTCTCTGACCGAGTGAGTGCAGGGCTAAATACTCTCCAGTATCTGGTAGCTACCTACCTACAGTAAACCTCAGTCAAGCCTTGTACCCGCCCGAATGGTGTGGAGTTTTCTCCACTGTTACTCTGGCCCCCAAATGATTGACATGGGCCATGGTAGGCTTGAATGATCAACTAAACACACGGCGGTGGTCTCACCCAAGGTACCTACCTACCCAGGTAGATAATTACGCTCCTTCTGGTCTGTCGGGCTCGCTATCGCATAAGTCATGCT